CTGCAACACGCTTTCCACATAAATCAGTTCGTYTGGACATCAACGGATTATTTTGTAATAAATTTGCATTTACAAAATCCCAAATCACTATTCATCTAAAACACCTATTCACCAACTAACTAACTAACTAACTTTGGTGGCTTTCTACATACTTATATGGAGACTAGTAAAATATTCATTTGCCTGTATATGCGGCAATATTACCGCTGAATGTATATATGTGTTTGTGTGTGGGTTTARAGTTGACTTTTTAGACACTATAATTCATGTCGCGCTTTGTGCAGCTAAAACGCTCGCCATGCCGCACGAGTTGAAAGGCGGATTTAAAGGAAATATATTTTTATACTGAAATATATGTATTTATATATATGTATATGGACATGTATATGTAATTCACTATGTGTCTGTGTGTAAAAAGAATTGCCAGAATAGAATGGTGTTGAAAAAATGAAATGAAAGTCAATGACAGCGATTTGCCGGTTTGACCACAATCAGCACGATCTGTGGCTGGCACACCCACTTCTACGTGCAAATGCACGTGTACACACATACTGTAGTCAATACATATGTATATCTATATATCTAAGTATATATATAAACAATCGTGTATAACTCTATGCCAAATGCACTGGCAAAGTCACTGTCGCTTTGGTGACTTTGCATTTTATTTTATCGCCCTCTTTTTAATTGCTGTGAAATCGTTCATGTCAGTCGCTGTAGACAATTAAATAGAGAATAGGATTTTTCTGGATTAGTCACGCTCAGGTAGTGGTGAGAATTATACATTTTTTATATCGAAAATCTAAATGTATTKATATTTGCAGCATTTGCTGATGTAAACAACGGTATAGCTGTCCGACTTTTTTAATTTTGTTATGTGAAAGCGTTTTAAAATTTATAACTTCGCTAATAAAGTTTTACAAATTCTAGTAACCTAAAAAAACTTTCCAAAAATTTTGATAAAGCCACACAGCTGGTTTAAGCTGAGATTTACTGAAGTTTGCGGGAGCTTCAGATAAAAAAAAAAATAAAAAAAGTAATATAAATTGCTGAACTTAAGTACCCATAGAGTATTTAAAAGTAGTGTTAAAGTATATTTCAGCAATGGAAGAAAATAAGAAGAAACAAATGGTTAAATAAAAAAATTTAAAAACTGGGTTATGTGAATTTTTCACAAAAATTTTAAGTTTATGTGCGAAAACTTTACTCCCCTTTACTCTCTTGTCCTCATATCAACCATACAATATTTTCCCCTTAATATTTCGTAGCTTTTTTGCTTTCCAATGGGTTTCATTCCTTCAGATCCTAATATTGAGCATTTCAGAAGTTTTATGAGAGGTCTAATGTCAGTGCTGGCTGTCTGATTTGCCGAATGTAAGACAACCGAGATATTTTATTTCCACTCTTGCAAAGTTTGAATAATGGATGCGAAAGTGCTTGAATGTTTCCACCTCAACTTCCTCCATACAACTGTCAAAATTTGCGGCCATCAAGATTTTAGCCTTACGGAATGAATGGCAAGTTGAAGAAGAACTCCTGGGTTCTAGGCCAAATGGACTTTGTAGTCACACGCGACGCTTTCATCCTGTATGTAGCCTCTTCGAGCGCCTTCCATCATGCAAGTGTATCATAGGGCATTATTACTTTGGCTATGGCTTAAAATATCCAAAACGCTAACTTTAGTGAAAAGTCTTTTTACAGCAATAAGGTAACAGATGAATGGCTTATTATATTAAGCAGAGTGATATTTGGACCCCATGGAAGCCAACTATAAGAGTTAAGCCCTATCTATTTGACATAAGATAGATAATAAGTGATGTTCGCATCGCGAACTAAGATCTGTTGTACTCTATTTGACCTTACCCAAGTGGGAGTTTAATAAAAAAACTATTTAATGATAGAGTTTTATAGCCAATATCGAGTACTCTTACCATGAGTGATGAAATTTATGTGTGTTTTTCGTCATTGCCATACAAATATTATCAATAATCTCAACTCCAAGATAGTCTCAAACTATGACTAAAATATAAGCTTTTCTTGCCTCAATTGCTGCAATAACTTTAGTCAAAATATGAAATTTGAAGCTTTGAAGTCYATTTGTAGAATAGGTCAGAACATCTGCAAAAATCTTACTTTCTGGTCACGTTAAGTTTTAAGAAGGTTCAGACATTCTTTGTGAAAAATCGCAGCCCTTGCAATATTAACTTATGCAAATCCGTCTGCGTCTAAAACCTGTCAACAAAAAAATCACAAAAATATGCAAATATTAAAATATACGTGGAACTTAAACTACATTGCAATAAAAAAAACAACAGCAAAAAAATAAAATAAATAAAAACCACAACAACAACACATACCAAACTCCACCTTGACTTATGTCAGCGCCTAAGCAGATACAATTTTTCTTTTGTTCACCAGTGCAACTACTGCAGGCTTTCTCTTAACGGTAATGCAGTTGCGCACGCAAACAACAAAAAAGCAGCGACGCATATCTTTTCAGCGCCGGAAAGTAAAAATTTGTCCAAGAGCCAGCTAAAAATGTTGTGCTTTAAACGCTTCAGATTTTTTAAGCGYTCTTGCCTTATTTGTAGTTTGTATAAGTTTCGGTACGTTTTATAGCCTTAAGCGCCAAACTTTCGTAAGCAAATTTTATGCAATTTTTTCTTAGCGCAAACTTTTGTCGCAAAATTTTCAACTCTCTGCCCTAAATTTGTTTGTTGTTTTCAGCTTTTACTTAAATATTACTAAAGTGGTGTTTCTTTCACTAACTCAGACGTTCTCTCTCTTTCTTCTCTTTGCAGGTGCAGTACTACAAAGATGTCATCATAATTTTCGTGTGTCGGCAAAATAATTGGGGGCATAAAGTGACCGTCGAGCGGTGACAGCTGCGCGATAGCAAAAAATAAAATCGCTGATAGTTTTTGCATTAAGCTTTAACTGTGAAAAAAAAAAGTTTTCGCGTCTTCAGTTAACGGTAAAATAGCGGTATATACGGCAAATACGGTTTCGGTTTCGCGTTTAATTTCGCGGTGTTTCGCATCGGTTACGGTTGAATTAAAATTTTTCGGTATTTAAACGGTAAAAATAAACAGACGACCAAATGTTGGCCTTTCATAACGAGCACATTGCAAGTGAGTACTAAGAACTATATATAAATATATGTATTTTTGGAATTTCTTAATTGCTTTTGTTACAAAATTATATGTTTGCGTGCACAAGTTCAGTAATTCTTTAGAATTATAGGCGAWTTCTTTTCACCAAATTGTAAATAATATTTTGCTAACGAAGAATGTGAAGGTGGCATATTACTCATACGCAGTGTGGCGCAAACCTACTTAATAAGCTACAGTTATTTAGGAGAAATTTTTATTTTTTTTTTTCAGAAATGCTTGACAGTGTTTTTTTTTTT